CGATATCTTTCCTGTAGTCTGGTGTACCCTGGGCAACAATTAGCGAATACCTTATACCGAATGGCAAATCCTTTCACCATATTGGCAAGCATGACAGTTTATGCCATACGATAAGACAAAGTAGTGACTGTACACAGGATTCTTTTAAAGGTGGAGGTTCTCAATTCGTGTTTTTTTGTATGTATGTTACGCGATAACTCCGATTTGTGAACCGATTTTGATTATTCTTTTTTTGTTGGAAAGAGGGTACCTCAGTGGTAGTTCCATTTAAATTTGAAGAAAATATTCCACCTCTAAGTATGGCTTTTTAGTACTCTGTACTAATTGCAAATCTAGCTGTAACACATGGCCTGTATTGGACCCTAAGGAATCACTCTGCAACCCCATTATATGCAATAAATTATTTCTTTGTACATAATTTGCTTTTTTTTTAATACTGTAATAAATATGCGAATAAGTTTCACAATAACAGTCATAATAGTAATGTTTTTTGTCTGCTATACTGTTTTTTTTTGTCTGCAACTCGTCTTAATAAACATATAATGCTCATAAAAAACCTTGCTCTTGAAGATTTACGTACTCGCTACGTAATTGCGACCATCAAGGCTTTATGGGTTATCACGTCAGCGGTTATTGTCTTATGATAAAAAAGTGTATAAAAGACACTGAAGTTGTGACGCTAATATTAACAAGGTTGAATTAGAATTTGTCTGGTCTTCGAAACTTTCCATTCCGCACTCCTCATTAGTAGGAATAGAGCTTCTTGTGAAAGGTTCGTCCAGGGAAGTACTGCCACCTTCACTATTTCTGCCGTCAAGCAGTAATGTCAGCATTACTGTGTTCTGGTTTTGAAGAGTAAGGGTGCTGGTGAAATTACAGGCACATGGGACTTGTTACTTATATCTCAGGGTGACGGGCGCAGTGGCAGTGCCTCTCAGACTTTGCGATTGAAAGCTCTGAGTGGTGGCACTGCAACTGTTATGGACAGGCGTGTTCCATCAAGCGCACTTATTCGTCTCAACACTTGATATTATAAAAAAATAAAAAATCCATCTAAGGGAGAAGGGGGTGACTGAAAACCAGTGCTGCAACTGTCCTGAACAGGAGGAGCGCCAATTGAGATACCTCTTTTTGCCGCCTGTGAATGTTTACTTAGTATCTTAAGTGTAGTTGTTGTTAACGTTTTTATAATGTTAGCAATAAAGAGATTTATTTATTAAACTTTACCTTATTATTAGGAGAAAAATTTATTTATATTTTATCCGGCTGGCTAAAGTTTAGCAAGTTGTTAGTTATTATTATAAATGCCTCGTAACGTAACATTCCTATCATTAAAACAAACGACTTGTGGTTCTACATCTACGAAAATTTCCCACAATTTTTTTCAACTTCTTTTAAATGGTATGCCATCAATTTGTATGAGAAGTAAAACAAAAAAGTGCTATAAAAACTCTGTGCTTTTAATAGTTGCCTTTATAATGAAACTATGATGATATTCGTTTACATTTTCTTGTGTCTCTCTCTTGCAATATGTCAAAGTGATATTTTCTATTGCATAACTCTCTATTATGCCTCTAACAAAACACAGTAAATGACATATATAAATCGGGAATGGTGAAATCTCTGACCCAATGCAACTTCGATAAATTTCATACACAGTATCTAGACTGCCTCTGTGGGCGAATGATCGCCATGCTGCTCTGCCACGCAGAGTCTGGGATCTTTTCCGGGCCGGGAGAAATATTAATTGTATGAGTTCCGAATCCGAGAAATGACAGTCCGAAGCGTCATTTTATCTCTACGTGTACAAGCGCTATTCTTATTTTCTCGAATTCGAATTGTACTTAGAGCTAGTTTTCTAGATCTGTTTAGTCTCGGATTCAGAACGAATACGGATCGGATGCAGCGCAAACGCGCTTGGGTCTACATTTATTTCTCTCGTGAGTTTGGGTGTAATTTGTGGTTGTCTATGTTTGTGTCCATGACACCCACAGTCATTTATATAACCAGAAATAGAGACGAAATAAGGGCCACATATTCCTGGTAACACATCGATACAGCTCTTATAAATATCAATTCCCGTTTTTGCTGAAATATAGACAGGCCAACTACTGACCTGTGTGTACTTCTCCGTATATTCCAAAAAATATTCTGAATTTATTGTAATAAAGATAATATCTCTAACAATGCCTTTCTGTTCTATTCGGTGGTACGGAAAAAACAGCAAACATCTAATTACAAAACAAATGGAATCACATTTCATCGGTAATTAAATATTAAATATGTAATTTTACAATTTTCGTCCATTATAGCAAAGCTCAAGTTAACTGATCGATTTGAAGTGAAACAGTTGACGACACCCATTGACGACACTTGTCTATTGTTTCTAATTCGGGCTAGCCAATTGGAGCGCAGTTGTCACAGTAATGATATGGCAGAATATTACTTATTTGACAGTAATTGTTTCGGACGGATGTCAGACGGAGATCGAGAGTAGACATCCTAGTGTGGAACTATAAGCGTGTGTGCGTTATAATTATTATATATATATATATATATATATATCTGTATGTTATACAAAGGAGTAGGATTCATACAGCAAAATATAAGTCCTAGAAACATGAAAACTTGAGGCTATGTTACTTTTATTTAGTGTAGGTGTACTAAGAACGGATTTTTCAAAATTCAACCCCTAAAAGAGAGAAAAAGGGTGAAAATGTTTATATGACAAATCGCACTTCTTGAACTTATAAAGAACTGCTAGAATATTCATACTAATAAATAGAATATCTATTAAAAATGATAAAAGACCGTATTCCTTACATTTTCAAACTTTAATATTTTTCATTTGTTTTCGTTATAATACATGTAAAAAATCCGCGTGTCGCGGACAAGAGCTAGTTATATACACAAACGCAATATTAACAACTCCAATGCTCAAAAGCTTTGTTAAATACCTATTGAACATTGAAAAACGTTTGCACAAACATAGGTTAATTTATACAACATTATAAAGCTACTGAATAGAGAAATCGTATGATTTTTTTATAATAAATAACAAAACAAGTTGTAAAAGCCTCGCAGATATCTTACTCGTGCTGTATGTTTTACTACTCAAAAGAAACCCGGTTTAATTCAAAAGTAAGAAAGAACGATTGATTTCAGAAATATTCTATAACAAATTTATTTACTTTTTTATGATAATATTCATCTAAAATACCGTTTCTATGAAATAAATATGCAAAAGTATACGAATAATAAAAAAACTAAATATAAATAAAATAAAAAGAAGCATTGTTTGTTAACAGTAATCCATTTACTAACTAAAAAATGTAAATTAAAAAAAATGTTGAAAAAGAATTACTTCACAAATTATTATTGAATAGTTAATAATCATATCGTTTAAGTATTTTTAACACCATTATTGTCAGTTTGTAACTTTTTGCTTAATTGAGACTCATTTCGATCCTGCAGTCAAACTGTATATACAGTTTTGTAGGACTGTGTTTATTTAAATATAATGTACCCCCCTTTCTTAAATTCAAATAAATAATAATAATTTCATTTCATATGAACAAATGGTATATTTCAATCCTTTATCATTTCCAATTTCGACTACGCATTTTTTCGTTTTGGGTTTATCAACGCTATTGTAAGACTTTAGTAATGTCTAGAATACGAGATTAGGCCATTGTTAAGTTCGCTAACAAACGAGCGACTGCGTCTATCGCGACTGCGATGCGATGCGATAGACGCAGTCGCGTGAATGTCTAGAGACACAAAGTATTGAACGACTAATTTTCCAGTTCAATACCAAACTCAGCAATAACGACGTAACATATCTTAGTTGTGTTGGAAATTGCCATTATCTACAATGACATACAAAGCCCACCAGAGATTGTACGAACATCAACAAAATAGATTTTAGTACTTTTATGAATATTGAAGGAACCATGGAGTGTAAAACAGTTATGTAATATCAAAAGATTCATAAAAACTATTACGGTGTTAAAAACATATATGATATACGTATAACTAGAAATATCAAATAATCACAATTTAAACGTGGTTGACATGGTTAATTTACCAAGTATTTTTTATAGTTGTCTCTTAGCGTGGTCTCCTTATATCTATGGCATCACATCACACTATTAATGCTTATGGTGGTAATTTCTGGGCGTAATAACAAAAAAAAAATTAACATTCGCCGACTATACGACATTCAAGTCGCGCGTCTACTTACGCTCTTTAGTTATTCAGTACGTCACTTGAAGTTATTCTTTTAAAGTGGCATAACTTTAGCTTGGGGATTGAAAGTTGTTAAATCTTTTGCAGATATTATAATTTTTTTAATTTAATATAGCATTGTGCTCTGTTATTGAGACGTTTTTTTTATAACACTACCGGTTGAATTTTGTCCTAATAAAGATATAGACGGCAAACTTTAACAGGTTTTAATTTTTTATCATGATTTTGTTGCATTAATCCATAAATCCTAAAATCAATGAAAATTTTTAAACTAGTGAAAAATACAAAAAATCGATTACTTAATCGCATTCTTAGATCCGTATAGACCCGAAGCCTATTTCTTCTTTGTAGTATAATGTCTAAAAAGTGTATGAATTAAATGGGAAACCCAAGGGATTGTACCTACATAACCATAAAAAGGGGAAAATAGTCAACAATTCAGACACTCAATCACGAGGACCCAATTCCATCTATTAAATATAGCCCTAGTTCCAGTAAGCTTTTCATTCTGTACCTTTTACTGTATCTAGTCCTTTACATCTTTTTTAATAACAACACTTAAGCTGTTCTTATATTTTATTTCTTTGATTCACTTTTTGAATAAATTTCATTACAAAAGCTCAAAAATATAGGATCCATACACAGAAGGCTAGTTAAATCATTATATAATAACCAAAGAGCTACTTAATTTTTTTTTAACTTTCACAGTATGCAAAGTTCGAAAAAATAGCAATAACCAATTTGATACTCACCTCGCTCCTTATATCACAGTTGGAAAAATAAACTTCACTTGTTTTGAAATCCTAAAACAAAACACTATCTATAAATATATTTAAATAACTCTACGTACAAAGAACAAAAATGTTCATTTCAAAACATAAAATTCTGAGACCTAATTGCAAATTGACATTTAAAATTGTCAATTCTAAATTTAAATACTAGATGTTACTAAAGCCTACCGTCGCGTGCGCCGTTGAAGGCTTCGCAGAAAAAACTAACGGCTTGTAAACAGGGTACAGGCCATGCCGTTCTCCTGTTCATTGCCCGGCGTCATACTGAGGAGACCGGTTGCTTTGGCCACCAGTCACACCGTGATTTGGTAACGAATTTCTAATACCTATGTTGTATTTAAAGTCCATGACATTTGCATTACTGCAAAGTAATAAAACATACTATGAAATGAAAAGTCCACAAATGCCGTTATTATAACCGCTTTAATATTAAATGATGCAGAGAAGCATTTATATAAGTTTAAGGAAATATCAGTATCTTAGTAAGGAATAACCTTTCTTACCGGATAACATAATACTATCTCTCTCTATATTTGGACACATCGAATTAGGTTACACTTATGTAATTCAACAAAAGTTTGAATTTTGAGAGCTCTTACTTTATTATCCAGTGATTAAAAAGTATCCAAATTAAATATTTTTCATAAACTTACAAAAACATAGTCAAATTTAATGTTTAAACAGTATTTCAATTTGCTATAAAATAATGAATTACAGCCTTTCTTTATACGTGACCGACTAACTCTACTCCACCTGTTAAGCTCTAGCAGGTTGTCTCGATCTATGATGTTTGAAATCAATATTGTAAATATTAAAATGTGCAGAAATGTTTATTTGTAAAGAACAACTCTTAGAGTTTCTTGCTCGTTCTGCTCCAGGGAATCTGCCTTACGAATGAGCAGTAGAGTTTAATCGATTCGCAACTCTCATGGAAGAATAGCATATACGGAGTTACGTCAAAAATGTATTTTGCTCCATTGCATAGAGAAAAATATAACCGACATCCTCTCCAATTCTTGTAACTATAGCTCCAATATTAGTCGATAGAGCAATAAATGTTTTTGACGTAACTCCACTTATGCCTTTCCTCCACGAGGGTGAGATATGACGATTTCAAGAGTAATTTGCTTACCAAAGGTTATATGACTTTGACATAGACGGAACCTTGTGCAGTGTTGATATAATTACCGCCTTTGCCTGTCTACAACATGCCTCTTCACACCTCGTTTAAAGGATCCTACATCGTAAAAGGGAGGGTTATACTCGCGACGAAAAGTAGTTCCAATTTTTGACAAAGAAAAGTGCAACCTTTTACTTTTTTAGAATTTAAGATGTAAATATTAATAATAACGCACACACGCAAACTCTGTATCGCGTTTACCATGGACACACACATAAACAACCATTAATTATACAGTTAATATTTGTTTTTAATAAAAAATCTAATAATTTACAAATAATGCCCATGTATGTACATTACCAACATCAAAGCGACTTGCATCGCTTCCTTTATGAAATAATTTCCTGTTTGCTACAATTACAAAACATGTCTGTGTAAACGCTGCCGATGGAATATTTTACAAATGAATGCGCGCAAATGATTAAAAAGAACTCTCGTACGCAATGGGTTTTTCTCCGGTTCAGATCTATGTTACAATTTGTTAATTTTATTACTTTATACAATAAAAAAGTTACAAATAAAACTTATATAGGCGATCGAAGACAGGCAATCGAAAATTATGGACCGCATGTTTTATAGATGTGATATACATATTTTTAACTGCCTCTGTGGCCGAACGGTTACCATGTCGGACTGCCACGCTGAGGTCCCAGATTTAGTTCCCGGGCCAGGAGAAATATTAGTACGGCCTACATTTGTTTCTCTCGTGAGTTTGGGTGTAATTTGTGGTCGTCTATGTGTTTGTCCATGGTACCAGCGACACAGAGTTACCATAGTGCGGGGCTATGTTGAGTGTGTGCATTGCCATTAAAAAAAAATCTGAAATACTTTTTTTATAAAAAAATAAATGCGTAGGAAAGTGTGATAAGGTCGGTGATGGAGCATATGCACCTAAATAATGCCTTTTCTCTCTCGCTTTGAAAAGACCCAAGTTATAGCGTTCAGGGAATAAGTCTGCAGACAGGGAATTAATATTATAATTATATGATTATATGTGTACTGCAATGCACCTGTTAAAGCAATATTAAAGCTGTAAAAAAGTTATACAACTAACTTTTAGAGCAAAGCCTTGTACAATGTAAAATATAATTAATAGCATGTATATATGGAACATACGAATAAATATATAGGAACATGTTAAATACGCGTATGTACCTATGAATAAAAGTGTTGGTAACCCAGCGGAAAACGATTGCTTCTCAAATGAATGGTCGTTGGTTAAAATCCCTGTGGCAGCATGTACAATAACTTTAAATCCTATTAGGTACATTTTTTTGTATAGTATCAAGCGACGAGACGACGGGATTTCTTTATAAAAAATTCTTTCTGACTTACAGCTTGACCAAGCGCTATGGTAGTCGGGTCGTTGAAACCCTGCAGAGTGCGTTTTGCCCGCCAATAGTATAATGACCTGACACGAATAGACCCAGTGTGTAAAACCGAGAATTTCACCAGCACCTTTAAAAACCGGATACCGCTTGGCGGCAGAAATAGGTAGCAGCTCTACTGTTACTAAACACTTGTGAATATGTAGTTGAAATACCTATCGCTAACGATGAAGGGAATATCGTGATGAAATCATAGATAAATCATTGCATTTCAAAGACGGTTCACAACTTCTGCGAAACGTGCGAAATACCCAGCACGCATTGGAGCAATGTAACTGGTTGTGTGTTGCGAGACGTGGTGGACACAGGTGGAGTAAGGCGATAATCAAATGGTGGCTAGGAAATGGGATATAGAAACGTGGGACAGACTTTCTATAACAAAATGTGTGGACGACATTGTCAAAGTTGCGGGCCATAGATGGATGAGACTAGCACAGGACCGTGGTGGATGGCAGAAACTACGGGAGGCCTATATCCAGCAGAGGTTGAAATCCGCTGTGGATGATGAGAGAAAGGATTATACCCAAACCTTCTCCTTAGAAACCCGTGCCCATTTGTGGGACATATAATATTTTGATGATTATGTTGACAAACAAGTTTTACATTCACCAATTCACTCGTTTGCATTGAACTTGAACGAGGAAATAATTCGTTGTTATTTTTGCAAACATTTTGCACAAAATCATTAACTACGTCAATCATAATTGGGCATGACATTAATAAGAATTTTCTGGAAGCGATCATAACGAAAAATAACACCGATTATTGTTACATGTTTATATTCTATGAACCGTCGTAGTATAGTGGAAACAACCACGTTATAGTGAATATACGAAATTCAGTTCGTATTTTCGTGAATATGATGATACGGAAAACCTTGTGGTCTTGAAACGGTACATGCTATCACAAAATTATAACTGCTCAGAAACCAGAAGTTGACATGTCTAAATTTATTTTGTTAAATTGACATATTTAAATTGTGAACTATCTTGAAGTTACCTATTTACATATCCTATCTTAAACTGTACCCACAAGATGGTACAGTTTATCTTTTGGCTAACTATAAGTGCAATAAAAACTCATTTTAAAAATTAACGCCTTTGAAAAATATGAGTTTTTAGTAACCCACCTAATCTGATATTTCGTAATAAAACTTCTAATTGCCTTGGCATATGTATATAGAGGTACATTCATAGTAGTACATTATGTCCATTCCGTGTGTTCCACGTCACTGGTCAGACCTTTGTCTTGTCTACAAAATAAAATACTTGGAATCCACTACAACAAATAGCCTCGGAACTTCACACGAAGAATTTACCTAATTAAATTCTGAAAGAACTTTTTTCTCTCTTTTTCTCTAAAAATTAAAGCCATTTAATACGGTAAACACGTCACTGAGGTTCAGGCATTAATTCTGTATTAGTAAAAAATGTTCCGTGAATTATCTGTGAAAGACTGAGCCGCGTTCAACGCCACCTTGATAAACTCTCTGTTATTAGGATGTGGCGTTTTACGAAAAACATCATTTATTTTTAGCGAAACTATAAAAAAAAAGTAAATATAAAAGAAAATATTTTTAATTCACAAAAGTTTTATTGAAGTTCTATTGACATTATCAAGTTGTGGCAGGCAGTAGAGATGCAGATAAGGCTAGGTTCAAATGAACGCATACCTACCGCGCACCGACGCGGGGTAGACGCACGTTGGATTGGAACGTTCAGATGACGAAAATAAACGCGCGGTGCGCGCAAGTGCTTCCAATGATTAATATCACACGGTCATCTGAACAGGTGTTTAGTAGCTGTAGAACACCTTGTGAAAGAGTTCGTCAGGGAAGTTCTGCCACCTTCCCTATTGCTGCCGCTAAGCAGTAATGTAAGCATTACAGCATTCCGGTTTTGAAGGGTAAGGGTGCTGGTGAAATTGCAGGCACATCGGACAGATCTAAGGTTCTAGCGATTTAAAGCTCTGAGTGGCACTGCCACTGTCATGGACATGCGTTTACTTAACGCCAGGAGCGACACTTGATATTATAAAAAAATAAAAATAAAAATTAAATACATTGTCAGTGCCTAAAATTCTAACTGAACTTACCCATATAACTTCAGAAAAACTATACTAGTTCGCTATAAAGTTCTTTGTGGATAAATCATCATTACGTATTTCTACAACAAAACAACACGCTGTGTTCCTGATTGTAGGGAAAGGAAGGCCAGAATAACCAAAGCCAAGCACGACTTAAAATCTTATATCCCAGAGCTAGCAACGAATTTGCAATGTTAAGAATTATTCTCTTACACCGCAAATGTTTAAGTAGCGACGGTTTTGTTCAGTGCGGTGTCTATATGATATAACCTTTGATAAAAAATGTATTTTTGAAATTCTATACTAAACATTCAAAAACGCAAATTATTTTCTATATAAAAGTAAGTTTTATTAAATAAGGGAAATAATATACTTAAATTATATCGTAGATTTAAACTTCGCCGTATTGTTCACGTAAAAAACATGTTGACATTAAACAAGACGATTTAAAACACGTTCCCTAAGTAGCTTAAATGCGGTAACTCAAGTAGTAATAACTTTTAAACATCAATTTATAGTCAATTGAAACCATTGACGTCATTTTCGAATAACCGGAATAAAAAGGTATAAACTTTAAGTGTTATGAAAATAAAAAAGAAC